AGGAGGAGGAGGAGGAGGAGGAGGAGGAGGAGGAGGAGGAGGAGGAGGAGGAGGCGCGTGGATTAGCGACGGGTCCCGTTGACGTTTGTTTAGGATCGGCGCGCTACGTCGCCGAACCTGGGCAGCACGGGCCATGTGTTCCGGGAGGCGCCTTCCCGATCCGTGGGTCCGGCGTCCAAGGCGGCAGGTCCGCGGACTCCTTATCCATGTTGGCGTGAGCCCAGGTGGGCAACAGAAGGAAACGGGGTCGGCTGCGCGGACGTCCGCGCGCAAGCCTCCCGCGTGAGGCCGCGCGTGCACGCCTCCTCCTCCGCGCGGTGTGCCGCGCTGGCGCCCCGCGCGGGCCGCGGCGCGTGCGGTCGCCCTGCCGCCGCGCGCACGGCCCGCGCCTCTCTGCTCGTGCTCAGGTGCCGGACACCGTCACTTTCGAGTTCTGGCTGCAGCTCGTGCCTCCGCTCGTGCCCGGCGCCACGGTCCTCAGCGTCGGCGGCCTCCCGGGCGAGGGCGGCGCGCCCGGCCGCGAGGTGGCGCGCCTGCGGCTGGACCCGCAGAGCGGCCACGGGCTCCTCGACGTCTGCCGCGGCGACGGCGGCGCGGCAACCTTCACGGTGCCAGGGCTCGCCGCCCTCGGCCCTCAGCACCTCGCCGTCTCCTTCGCCCTGGGGGTGGACGAGTCGGGCGGCGCGGCCTACCAGGATCGGGGGGAGAAACACGCTCGCCATGGCACGAACACCAGGCGACGAGGGCCTGCTGATGTCGCAGGGTCTCGTCCACGCCGATCGTGGTCATGGTCCATGCCGGCCGTCGCCGATTCGCGATGATGGCCCACGAATTGGCGCTGACCAGGATGGACGGTGACCAAGATCGACACGACGTCTCCGCGTTCAGTCTTGGTCATGGTCTCCGTTTTCTTCACAGGAAAACATCCTAAACATTAACTTCCTGAGCTCCGCGCGGATTTCTTGGATCTGCGCCTTGGCCCCCCTGGCGGCGCCTTTGGTGCCGCCCCCGTCGCGCTCCACGCACGAGGGAGGGGGTCTGGCGCCGATCTATGCAATCCGCGCAGGCCTCCGAAAGCTTATGCTCATGCTTATGCCGTTGCTTCTTCTTCTTTTTCTTCTTCTTCTTCTTCTTCTACAGGTGCTCGTCCACGTCGGCTGCGCGCTGGTGCTCAGCGGCACCCGTGGGCGAAAACCATCTCCGAATCCGCAGCCTCGCGGGCTAGGCCCCTCGGCCGCGACCCCGCGGATACGGAGCGCTTTCTCGCGGATGCCCCGCGCGGGACGCATCCGTGCGACCGCGTATCCGCGGGCTCGTGCCCCAGAATCCAGACCGCGAGGGCGCGGATACGGATATGTTCGCCGTTCGCGAGGCACCGTGCAGGGCCCGTGCGCGACTCTGAACTCGTCGCGGGTGCGGCGCCCGACGATCGGCCAGCTGTACGTGGCGGATGACCCTGGCGCGGCCGGCGGCGCCGAGCCCCGGAGCGGAGCCTTCGCGGCAATGTACCTCGCGGAGGTCCAGACGACGCCATCCGTGCACCAGCGGTAAGGCTTCCTCCGTAGCAAATCATGGGAGCCTGGTATACCCCTTTCATTCGTCTTTAGCGTCGACTCGCGTCGATCAGCGTCTGGGAGTGGATGAGATAGCGTCGACCAGCATCGGTTAGCGTCGATTTAGCGTTGATCTAGCGTCGACCAGCGTCGATTCGCAAGAGCCGAGATGGTATGGGAGGCTCCCATGAGTTGCCACCGAAGGCGTTGGGTTGCGTGCAGACAGCCCCCCAGGTGGTCCCAGCTGGCCTCAATGCGGGACGGGAAAATGACCACAGCCACTGCTTCTTGTTTTCGCCGCCTTCCAGCCGGCCGAAAAAGAAGCAGTGGTTGTGGTCATTTCCCTGGTTCCAAGCTCAACGAACATGACCACAACCACTGCTTTGTTTCTGCGGGCTGGAAGGCGGCAACAAAAGAAGAGCAGTGGCTGTGGTCGCTTTCACGCCCCGTATCAACAGGCCCCCCCCCAGGTAGACCCAGCCTCGAACTTGTCTGTTTCGAACTTGTCTGTTTCGGGGAAGCGTGGCGCTCGGGCCTGCTGGAGCTCGGGCCTGCCGCCGCTTCCTGGCGGTCCCGGCGGGAGTGTTTGGACGGTCCCGTCTTGGCGAGAGGCCTGCAGCAGGAGCTCGCGCCCAGTTTCGGACCCTGTTCCGCCCTATCTCCCACTCCCCTGATGGCCCCGGCAGGTCCGTTGGAGTCCCAAGGCTCGAGTCTCACATCTTCCCCGACTCCCGCCCTCACCACCCACCAAACCACCCCAACCCAACCCGAGGGCCTCCATTTGCTCTCCATTTCCAGTGTGGGGGGGGGTGTCGGGGAGCATTGAGGAAACACATGGAACCCGTACCCCCCCCAACCACCCGAAATTCGGGTCTTCGGGTTGGGTTGGGGTGGTCTGATATAGGTAGTCACGCCCAGCCCCAATCCGCTCAAAGCCAGTCGACCCTGGCCCGTTTTCCGCGGCGGATTCAGCCGTGGCGGCGGGACACCTCCAGGAGGCCCAGCAATAAGGACGAGACACGCCAGGGAGCGTCGCCCCCTGACGTCCGCCGGAAATTGTTGCTGTTGTTGTCGTCGTCGTCTTCGTCGTCGTCGTCGTCGTCGTCGTCGTCGTTGTTGTTGTTGAACATTATTTCTTCTTAAGAATAATTATTGTTGGGACCCCTGGTGCGCGCCCCCCCCGCCGCGCCTAGGCCGCAGCCTCATTTTCATCATTTTCGTGAGGAAGTCTCAGGCAAAACGATGTGTACCAGATCCGGTTGTTTTGTTGTCCCCCGCTTTCCCTTGCAAAAAATAAGCTAAAGTGGACATTTCCTGTTCTAACATAACCAAACTTCAAGAATCCCTTGCAAAAAATAAGGTAAAGTGGACATTCGCGCGCGCAAGACGAAATCCTTCCAAAACCTTAGTTTTCGTAGCGATTTTAACATAAAAACTTTTTTTCTTTTAAAAAAATGTTTTTTTTTAAAAAAAAAAGAAAAAAAAAAAAAAACTTGTCAAAATTTCATCCCGCGCGCTCTTGCGGATTCGTAGGAAACCCAACACTTTTTAACATTTCTGTCAAACGGGCTTTTGCGAGCAACTTTTTCGAACTTCTGCAACAACGGTTGCGCACCTGCCAGGGCCATCATCCCTGTCAAATAATACCATGCGGGACACATTAGTTTTTTCTTCGCGCGCGCACGCCGTCGTCGTCGGCCGCGGGGCCCTGAATAGTAGCACGGTCGTCCGCATGCCACGAAGTGAAGTGTCCGAACGTCATAGGGCGGGAAGCTGGGTGTGGGTGGTGGCGAAGAGTCGTTTGGAAATTTGGTAGAGCTTGAACCGGCCCCCCCACAAAGTGGGGGTATTGCCCGCCTCCTATGAAACCCTGGCACTGGTGAGAACGGAGTGTCCCCACGTGCTAGTAATTGTTGTTGTTGTTGTTGTTGTTGTTGTTGTTGTTGTTGTTGTTGTTGTGATTATATGTTTGCACACACACATATTCCTCTCCTTATATTTTTATAAGCCCGGGCGGGGGGAAAACCCGTCCCCCCCCCCGAAAACCGGACTTCCGGCACCTGGGGCTTTGGGGCCCTCCGGACGGGCCTCGAAGCGGCCACCGGGCCTCGCAAGGCGTTTTGCCAAGCCTTCCCAGCACACTTAGGGCGATCAGGGGGGTCATCGGAGACGTCCCAGAGACCCCCACGACAGCACAAGAGCGCTCCAAGAGTGACCGACGTGACCTCAACATGGCCCAAGAGGTCTCCATGACGGCCCCAAAGCCCGGGGCACAAATCATGGAGTTTCTGTAGGTTTTTGGTGAATTTAGGTGTTCTCCTCTTTTCGGCTTCCCGACGCTCCATGACGGCGGTCTTCCGGGCGTCCGAAGCCGCCTGGGAGGCTCCCAAATCGCCCCACAACTATCCGAAAGGGCTTCCAGGCAGTCCAGGAGAGCTCCAAAACGGCACAACACGGGTCCAAGATGGCCCTCAGAGAGCCCCATGGCGGCCCAAGATGGCCCAAAGACACCCTCCGAAGAATTCCAAATCGTGATTCGGTCGTTCAGGGAGACGGCGGTTGGAGGCAGGGTGGCCTGAGGAAGCTCCCGGACGGAGGCCCCCAGAATACGCCCAGGAGGCCTCCAGAAGGCCTTAAGAAAGCCCGAACCAACTTTTGTGAGGCCCCTAGAGGCTCTCCAAGGAGGAGCCTCCGCAAAAAGAGCTGAGGAGGATGGGGATAATGCGCAGGGTATGGCGACAATAAGGAACAATAAGCATGGAGAAAGGATAACGAATAACATCATTACAGCGGCGATGCTGGAAAAGGCAACCAGGAGTTATCGCTAAATTGTCGGCTTGACCTTCCTGCCATTCCGCCTGCATTCCAAACTTCAAGGTCCAAGGTGCTTGTCGCGAAGCGCCAATGCAGTCTTGTATATATATATATAATTATATATGTAAATATGTATGTATATATGTATATATATATATATATATATATATAAATGTATGCACATTCATACACATGCAGTTTACTTACAAACAACAAGCATATCCGTGGCCCCAGAGGTGCCATTCCCCGAGGGGTACAGTGGGGGCCCATGCGAAGAAACACCCTGCTTGCCTCCAGGGTGCCCTGGTTTTCTTGGGTTTCGATGGCTCAGCGAGGGAGAGCGTGACGCTCCCACACCACAAATCCGGGGACGTCCCGGGGTCTCAGGGTTGGGTCTCTTGTGGAAGGCTTCTTGTGGCCGAGCCCCTTACTGCATGTTTTTGGGCGACCCGCGGCCCGAAGACGGCCCCCGGTATGCCGCAACATCGATTGCGCTGCCGGGATTGCACGGATCACCGCGTTGGGCGCCTGGTTTGGGAATCATGAGCCTCGAGTAAGCCAGAAGTCGGGTTTGCCGACGTTTCTTGACGGGCGCGTCCTGGATTCTGATGGTCCAGTGTTCGTGGCATGTTTGCAGCGGGAGCTCGCGTCAAATTTCAGATCGTCGGATGTTGCTAGAAGTACCCCTGGCCCAAGATGCCCCCCAGGATTTCCAAGGAGGCCCCCACGGCTTTCAGGGCACCCCTCACGAGGCCCAGGGGTCCCCAGAGGCTCCAAACTGGAGTGAAAAACTGGGGGTACCTTGGGCCAGGGGCACCTTCGAAAACACTTGATTGGGTCTCGTCATTTTTATGATGGCCCCGTCAGGCCAACCCGAGTCCCACGTACCCGAGTCTTACGTCTCCCTGACCTGGGGCTGTCTCGGCTGCCCCTGCTCCGATCGTCGAGCCAGCCTGGTGCACGGACGGCGTGGCCCGAGCGTTGTCCGTGCGCAAGAGTGGGAGGAGGAGGAGGAGGAGGAGGAGGAGGAGGAGGAGGAGGGAGGCAGGATGAGGGGAGGAAGGAGGTAGGAGGGGTAGGAGGAGGAGAGGAGGAGGAGGAGGAGGAGGAGGAGAGGAGGGGAGGGGAGGAGGAGGAGGGATGAGAGGAAGGAGGGGTAGGGAGGGAGGGAGGGAAGGGAGGGAGGGAGGGGGGGGATGGAGGAGGGGAGGGAGGAGGGAGGGAGGGGGAGGGAGGGAGGGAGGGAGGGAGGGAGGGAGGGAGGGAGGGGGGGAGGGAGGGAGGGAGGGAGGGAGTGGGGAGGAGGGGAGGGCGGAGGGAGGAGGAGTAGGAGGAGGAGGGAGGGGGGAGGGGGGGAGGGGGGGAGGGAGGGAAGGGGAGGGCAGGGAGGAGGAGGAGGTGACGAGGAGGAGGAGGAGGAGGAGGAGGAGGATGAGGAGGAGGAGGAGGAGGAGGAGGAGGAGGAGGGAGGAGGGGAGGGCGGGAGGAGGAGGAGGAGGAGGAGGAGGAGGGGGAGGAGGAGGAGGAGGGGGAGGAGGAGGAGGGGGAGGAGGAGGAGGAGGAGGAAGAGGAGGAAGAGGAGGAGGAGGAGGCGGAGGAGGAGGAGGTGGAGGAGGAGGCCCCTTGTGTGCGCCGCCAATCTTTGCGTGCAGCCGACGCGAGGTGCGGGTCTGGAGCCTGGTGCGGCCCGCCGAGGCGCTGTGCGAGGCCATGACCTCGCGGCTCTCGGGCTCCGAGGCGGGGCTGGTGGCCTACGCGCCGGTGACCCGAGAGAGGAGGCACGATTGCCATGACTGGCCACGCGCAGAGGGGGGGAATCCTCCTCCTCCTCCTCCTCCTCCTCCTCCTCTTTTTTTCCTCCTCGTAGGGGGAGGGGGGAAGGCTTCTTAGGAGGCTGCTCCTGAGAAGGCGTCAGCCCTACATGTACAGGTACGGCCCGCGCCTTCCAAGAAGCAGGGTGCTGCTGAGAAGCCTTCCCCCCTCTCCGTACCCCCCCTTCTGCGCGTGGCCGACATGACCGCACGGGATCCTGGATCTCGAGGAGGGAAACACGGTGCTCATGACCGAGTGGGTGCGAGGTTCGAGGCTCGGGGGGTGCGAGGCTCGAGGTTTCCGGGCGCTTTTGCAGGTTCTCGGCGGTTTCCCAGCCTCGGGATGCATTCCAGCGGCTGCGCCGCGCCGGGAGCGTTCTGGGGGTGCACATATCGTCCCAACCTGCCGCCAGAGACCCGAGTTATGACCCGACAACCCGATGACGAGGACCTGCTGATGTCTCGGGATCTTGTCATCGCCGGTCTTGGCCATTGTTCATGCTGGCCGTCGCTCACCGCCCACCAAACCACCCCAAAAGGCCCCGATTTGTTGTCCGTTTCCAGTGTGGGGGGGGGGTCGGGGAACCGCAGAAAACACATATGAAGCCCGTGCCCACCCCCAACAATAAATTCGGGTCTTCGGGTTGGGTTGGGGTCGCCGACGTTTCCGCATTCGTCCTTGGCCATGGACCTCGTTCCATCCAGCGGGCCCCCCCCTCCCCGTGCCCCCGCCCCTCCCTCCTCCTCCCTCCCTCCCTCCACCACCTCTTCCTCCCTCCCTCCCCGGCGTTGGCCAGGAATGACGTCAGAACGCATGCTCGGGCTAGGACGGTGCCACTCGGTTGAGAAGGCAATCCAGTTCGGCTGGCAGGAGAGGTTGTGCGGCAGTGCCTCCCCTGTTGAGTCTCAGTTCGAGGATCGGCGCGGTTTCCTCCGCCGTCTCGTTCTCGTGCCGTCGGGGTGCCGAAGATTTCTTCCCACCTCAGGTGTGTGATGAATGGCCCCGTGCATCACGGCTTAATTCGCTTTTTGTGTGTCCCAGTAATGCCACTTCGCCAGAGCATTCCCTCTGCCTAGCCGCCGACGTAAAAAGTGATGCGTGGCCGAGGGTTGCGTCCATCTCTGCGCGACAGGGGACCCAGTAGAACAAAGCAGCCAGGGACCGACTCCCTCGCTGCCTCACTGTATGTGCTTTTCCTCCCTCCCCCTCCTCCGCCTCCTCCTCCTCCGCCTCCTCCTCCTCCGCCTCCTCCTCCTCCGCCTCCTCCTCCTCCTCCTTCGTCCATCCGCCCCCTCCTCCTCCAACCCCTCACTCCTCCTCCTCCTCCTCCTCCTCCGCCTCCTCCTCCTCCGCTCCTCCTCCTCCTCCTCCTCCTCACGCCTCCTCCTCCTCCTCCTCCGCCTCCTTCTCCTCCTCGCTCTTTCGCCTCTCCGCCTCCTTTTCGCCCCCTCCTCTTCCTCTCCATCTCCTCCTCCTCCTCCTCCTCCTCCTCCACTCCTCCTCCTCCTCACTCCTCCCCTCCTCCTCTCGTCCTCCACCGCCACTTCCACCTCCTCCTTCTCCTCCTCCTCTCCACCTCCTCCTCTCCTCCTCCTCCTCCTCCTCCTCCTCCTCCTCCTCCGCCTCTCCTCCTCCTCCTCCTCCTCCTACAGTGCTGCACTTCCTGCCCTTCGCTGCGACTGGCGGCAAAGTTTGCCCCCAGCCGTGGCGCCCGAGCCAATGCAAGTTCGGGGCACCGGCCCCTGCTTTGTTGTGTGCGTGCTGCGTGTCGGCCTGTCCCCTGGCCGGCCAGCGGTTGAACCAGATGCGCGGCCGAAAGCCCCCCATCGACGCCACGGAGGCGATCGTGGGTGCGACCGCCTCCCTGCTGCAGCAGCGGCTGATGTAGCAAGACCGCCATGCAGACAAAGTTGGGTAAATTATGTTCCGGCCTGTGCCTGAGGGGGGAAGAAATGCCCCTCGACGCCAGCTTCGGCCATGGACCTCGTCGTCTCTCCCTCCAGGTGGGCGACGCAGAAAAACGGGGTCCCACTGCGCCGACATTGGCGCGTGAGCGTCCTGCGTAAGGTCGCACGCAAACGCCCTAGTCCCCAATGCAGCGTCCGCGCCGGCGGCCTGCGGAAGCCACCGCGTAAGGTCGCTGTGCCATCTCGCGTACAGTGGAAACCCATGCCAATAGACACCCTGCCTGCCTCCAGGTTGCCTTGGGTTTCCTGGGCTTCGATGGCATTGTTGTGGGAAGCGTGACGCTCCCGTATCTACAGGTCCATGGACGTCCTGGGGTCCCGGGATTGGGTTTCTTGTGGAGGATTCCTTGCGGACTAGCCTCAACTGTAGCTGATGACCGCTGTCGGCGCCGACGTTTCCGCATTCGCCCTTGGCCATGGATCTCGCTGTCTCTCCACCCAGTGAGGCCACCTCTCCCGGTGGCCCCGCCCCTCCCTCCTTTCTCCTCCTCTCCTCCTCCTCCCTCTCCTCCTCCTCCTCCTCCTGATCCTCCTCCTCCTCCTTCTCCTCCTCGTCCTCCCCTCTCTCCTCCTCCTCCTCCTCCTCCTCCTCCTCCTCCTCCTCCTCCTCCTCCTCCTCCTCCTCCTCCTCATCCTCATCCCTCTCCTCCTCCTCCTCCTCCTCCACTTCCTCCTTGTGTCATCTCGCGTGAGGCCCGTTCGTTATCGTCGCCCAGGTGACGGCGGCGGACGCCGCGGGCCTCGCGGCCGCTCCCGCCGCGGGCGTCCTGGCCCTGCGCAGCGCGCGCGACGCTGGGTTGCCCGCCGCGGCCGTGCCGCCCTTGCCGGAGGACCGGGGGGTCATGGTGGAGGGAAGAGGGCCAGTGTAAACCCAGTGTTTGCAGGATGTGCTATTCATCGACAGGTGGTGCTATTGTGCGGTGTGTGCACGTTATGCTATTCATCGCGCGCATTTCAACTTCGATGTGGCGTTATTTTATTATCCTGGGCTTCACGTGCACGCCTTCTCTACTCGTTCTACTCGTTCTCCCGTGGCTTTTGTGAGTTCCTGTGTTTCACGCCTGTTCTGCCGCACGCCGCATGGGACAAACTCAGTGAGGTCATGCTTGCTTCATTGGGTGTGTCCTTGTTGAAGATGTAAACCCAAGACCCATCAAAGGTATTGCAGTAAGCTCTCCCTTCGAATCCCCTTTTCCTAGGCCCTTACAGGGGCTTCATATTCACTTAGGGACATGCCCCGTTGGAAGACAGCCGCTTGAAACTGGGACGTCAGCGCCGCGAATCACCGTTACCGTTGCGTCTGGATGATCTTGAATAGGGCCAGAACGCTGTCTTGGGACCTCAACACCGCGAATCAACGTCACTGTTGCGCTCTAGCACCCCGACGTCGTGCCGAAACACCATGTCTGGTACGTTCCTCGAACATGTTGTAAGCTCTTAGAACGCATGTGCGCAGCGCTGCGGCCAGAACCGCATTTGCAAAAGGAGCCGCCTTCTATCAGTGAAGCTCTTGCAATATTTTAAGATGAATCTGCGCGGCGCTAAGGCGATAACCACATTTTGAAAACGGCCCGCCTTCCATCCGTGAAACGACTGAACTGTTTAAAGACAAATCTGCGATGCGCTAGGGCGAGAAATATATGTTGAAAACGGCCCGCCCTCCAGCCGTGAAGCTCTTGCAAATGTTGAAAACGAGTGTGCGCGGCGCTAAGGGGAGAACTGCATTTTGAACTTGCCCCGCCCTCCAACCGTGAAGCCCTTGTACTTTAAGACGAGTGTGCGCGGCGCTTAGGTGAGAGTCACATGTTGAACACGTCCCGCCTTCCGTCCGTGATTTTTTTGTTGTATATTGGCGAAGGATCGTAAATTGCGAGGGGGTCTCAGGCGAAAAGCCCGGCCAGCCCTACCGACACTTCTCGGGGTGCGACAGGGAGGAGTCGTTTAGAAGGAAAAAGGATGGATGGGGGATGGGGGAAGGGGGGAGGGTAGGGCGGAGGGCCCGGGGCGGAGGGAGGAGGAGGAGGAGGAGGAAGAGGAGGAGGAGGAGGAGGAGGAGGAAAAGGCGGAGGAGGAGGGGGAGGAGGAGGCAGAGGAGGAGGAGGACGAGGAGGAGGAGGAACAAGAAATTGTGGAGGAGGAGGAGGAGGAGGGGGAGGGGCGGAGGCGGAGGAAACGAGGAGGAAGAGGAAAAGGACGAGGAGGAGAGGGAGGAGGAATAAACTGGTAATCCCTTCGTCATCCTTTGCAAAAATACAATGCGCGCGCACTCGCGTATCAAAAACCACCAGTTTTTTTTAAATCGCTTTCAACATATTGGACGATGTGCACACGCGCCCGCGTCGTGGCGCGCGCATGCCGACATCCTTATACAACTATGGGCTTCGTAAGGATTTCGAATTCGAGTGTCCCGATCCATTTTCACATATTCAGATGTATGCCTGTCTGTCTGTCTGCCTGCCTGTCTGTCTGCATATATGTTTGTATATATATAAACAAACATATAATTACGCAATCGCTTTAAAACGAGCTTGCGCTTGGGCTCTTGCGTCTTTTTTGGAGCCATCGTTTTTTTTTCGACATGCTCATAACCTTCTCCTAAGCGGGCCTCTCGCCCGCACATGTCGGAATCGCAAGAACGCGCTTGCGCGCGTGCTGTCGCGATAAATACTTTGCACACCATGGGACGAAGTACGCGCGCGCATCGTCGCGCGCGCATGCCTGAACCATTTCAAAATCCTGGGTTCCCAAAGGATTTTCCAAAACCGAGTGTCCCGAACATCTATCAGCACATGTGGGTTTGCAACGTCAGTTTTTAAAACAAGCCGTCGTTCGCGGTCTTGCTAATCTTCAAGAGCGCAATCGGTTCTTCCACATTTTTTTCAATCATGCCAAGCGGGCCTCTCGCGCCGCAAGTCGAAATCATTCTACCCTGCGGGCCACTCTCGCGCGTCGTCCGCGCGAGCATGTCGAAGTCTTTCCAAAACCATCATCGCCGACGCGAGGACGCCGTCTTCGTCGTTGGCGTGATCAGCATCGGCGCCATGACAGGCCGTGCTGTCGTCGTTGCCATCATCGTCACCAGCAGTGCTACTACCATCATCTCGTCTACCGGCCAGACGTTGCAATGATACCGCGCCCGTCCAACTCGCCGACCCGCTTTGAAGTGTCCGCTGGGACGTGCCCAGCGGTCAGCGACACCGTGGCCACGTCGGCGGCGCCAAACGAGCTGGCAGCTGTGCGCGCGAACGGGCGCGCTAACGCGGCCGCGGCGATGCGGCACTCAGCGCCGAGCAGTCATCGCAATCGCAACCGCATGGGTTTTGCAAACCAAATTGCGGGTGGGCGGGTCGGTGCGATGATTACGCGAGCAATGGAGTTGACAACTTCAAGTTCGGCAAGGCGAATTGCAGCACATCTATTGCACCGCGTAGACTGCACCACGCAACGCTCCTCTTATATTGCATCACACATATTGCCCCGCATGAGTTGCACCACGTGCATTGCGCACCACATCTGGCATATCGGCGATTTTCCTGACAAAAAAAATAGGTTCTACCACCCTCCCCCCCCGGACGTACAGACCTCCCCTCCCCTTTTCGTCTTTCAATGTGCATACGATTCTGACCCAATGTCCATCCTAGCTGTGAGTACATTCTATCCCAGCTAGGCTGGTATCGCCCCCCCCCGCCATCCTCTGCAAAACTATGCGCGCACACTCGTTTATCAAAAATCATTAGTGTTCAAGAACCCCTTGCGACAACCAGGACGAAGTGCACAAGCAAGCGTCGTCGCGCGCGCATGCCAGAATCTTTTAAACAAACCTTAGGTTTCGGAAGGATTTCAAAATCGAGTGTCGAACAAACACATAAAAACAGACGGTTTCGCAGCGCGGATTTTCAAAAAAAACATGCGCGCGCGCTCTCTTGCGGATTCTTCCGAAAGCCAGCAGTTTTTTACTACCAAGCGGTTTTCGCGCGCGCTTGTCGAAGTCGTTCGAACGAGCGCCCTTGCGCGCGTGCCGTCGCGAGAATCCTCTGCAAAAAACCGGACGAAATGCACGCGCGCCGTCGCGCGCGCATGCCAGAATCCTTCAAAAACTATCGGTTTCGGAAGGATTTCAAAATCGAATGTCAAACAACAGACAAACACATGCGGTTTCGCAGCACGGATTTTCAACAAAAGCGTGCGGGTCGTCTTGCGAATCCTTACGAAAACCATTAGTTTTCCAACATGTTCATAACATGCTACCAAACGGGCTTCGCGCGCGCATGTCGAAATCGTTCGAACGCCCGTGCGCGCGTGATGGTGTGGCACGATCCGCGTCAAATAATACCATGCGAGCCACTCTTGCGCGTCTGCCGCGCGCGCATTTCGAATTCCTTCCAAAACCTTCATCACCGACGCGAAGACGCCGTCATCGTCGTCGGCGTGATCGGCATCGGCGCCGTCACTGGCCGTGTCGTCGTCGCTGTCAGCATAGTCGCCGACATCGCTACTGTCATCATCATCATCATCATCATCATCATCATCATCATCATCATCATCATCATCACCAGCATCATCATCATCATCATCATCATCATCATCATCATTATCACCATCACCATCATCATCACCATCATCATCATCATCATCATCATCATCTTCATCATCGTGTCTACAAGTGTCGACGTTGCCATGGTACCGTGCCCGCCCAAGTCGCCGACTCGCACTCAAGTGCCCGCCTGGATGTGCCCAGCGGTCAGCACCACCGCGGCCGTGTCGGTCGCGCCAAACTACCTGGCCGCTGCGCGCGTGCGCATGCGCGGGCTAGCGCGGTCGCAGAGATGCGCCAGCCAGCGCCAATCACTCATCGCAATCGCCGCCGCATGAGGTTTGCCAGCCAAGTTGCGGGTGGGTGGGATGTTTGCGCGAGCAGTGGAGTGGACAATACACTGCGAACAGAAATTCGTTGCACACCATAGATTGCACCAGGTAGGCTGCACAACATATGCTGCAGTACATCGGTTGCGCCACATTTATTGCTCCAGATAAGCTGCGCCACCTGGATTGTTCACGGAACCCGCACCGCATATCGTAAAACACGGCGCGCTGTTTTGGGTCCGCGCTTTAAAGCACATGTTCGTGTTCGGACGTTCGCAAACCGTTCACCAACGGTTCAGGACCATCTGTTCGCGAACTCCAAGGCCTCCAAGGGCCTTGTAAACGGCTGTTCGGTTGATGGGGGAACAAAGATGTTTAAAACGAGCGTTGCGCAACCGGTTCGAGAACAAATGTTCGCGAACGATGTTCAGGTCAGCCCTGATGTCGGACTGTGGCGTTCCAGATACGACCTCGCTCTCCAGGCGTCGAGAGGTGGACTCCTCCTCTTCGGCGGGAAGTGGCGGGAAGCCGGCGGAGGTGGGCGGGGCCAAACTGGGGCGGCTCCGCGTGCGGAGGCAAACTGCAGCCCTCCAATGGATGAGATGTTGGATGAAGGGGCTCTGGGGCGGGCCGAGCACGCCCTTACTGTGCACCGATGCTGGCCTGGGCGCCTCTTTTGGCCTTGTGGAAATCTTTGGATCCTTCGGAGGCTTTTTGGGCAGTCCTTGGATGGTCTTGGGTCGTCTGGCCTGCCGCGCGGACGACAAGGACGACCGGGAACAAAACCAGCGGAGGGGGGGGGGTCCAGACCAGGCTTGCCCAGAGGGTTTTTGGTGTTTATTTGAAAATTGCCATGCCTCATACTGTGCAAATGCCACAGGGCGGTGCCCCCTCCGTGACCCCTCCGTGGAAGCTCGCTCCATGCGTGCTCGCTCGTGGGCGGAAGCCATCGAGTTGCCAATGTTGC